TCTATACTTATGCACAAGAGGTTGACATTGCATTTTGTATTTGTATATTTTGATCTTGAAATGGAAACATCCATAACTATCTTTTTCTCTCTCTCTCCTTCTCACACACACACACACACAAAGATGTACATAGATCCATATGCTCCCTTTTTACATGTTAGAAGAAGAAAAAGAAGATGACGTGCCCTGCTGACATTTTTTATCACGAGAAGAGCCTGCTTGGTCCAAGTTGCTACCCCATTGAATAAAACAGGCTTCAAAATCTCAGAAGTAGAGCCTCGAAGGCTACCAATCTATTTTCTCGGACCTTATTAGGTCTTTTAGGCTATTTCGTTTCTGGTTTTTTATGGTTCTCTTTGGTTTACTAGTGACACTTTTTAATTACCTTTTATCTAGATGATCTCCCCCAAGTGAGGTCCCCCCTCTCTCTCTCTCTCCATATCCTCCAAGTGTTCGAGACCTCTCTCTCACAAATACAAAACCAATAAAAAAAGAAAAGAAAAAAAGAGGGTGATCTTTAAGAATTTCATGCGAGATCACACACACACACATATGTGCGCATGCATACACATACTAAACACATGCACACAAAACAACATATGGACCCCACCCCAACCCCCTTCCCTGAGGCCTGCCCAAGTATCTGGGTGCCCGGCTAGGTGGCGCAGACCCCTGGCTGCCTAGGTGGCCGCATCTGCCTTTCTGAACATTGTTGTTTAACAAACCACCAAGGTCCTCCTCTGGGCCTAGATTTCCATAGGAGCTTCCTTCGAAATTCAATTTGTTGATACCAGGATCTGGGGGCAGCCACAAGGAGGGCCTGGGAATATCATTCGGGGCCAAGGGAATGATCTGATGCCGTTAGCGAGGAAATCCAAGAAGATATTGTGAAAGTGTTTGGTTGGGGGTGCCTAAAAGACTATATTGGAGGTGACCTGGTAAATAATGGTGTGGAGAAGTGATAGGGGCCTTTCAAACATTCTTTGGTTTTGCTCAAGCCAGACAGACCGATCGACCAAATGATCATCTGAGTGGTAAGGTGCCATAGAATTCAACTTTCAGCCTGTAGGGGTAGGGAGTAGTACTGCTAGTGAAGTTCTTTGGCTGAGGAAGGGGTAACCTAGTTGAGGCTGAAGAGGTTGAGGAAAAGTACGTAAACAAGATGACCAAGGGGCAGTGATGAAGAGATGGGGGTTTGATTCCTCATCCGCCCCACACATTACACATCAGTTAGAGGGATATACACCTCTTTTTTTGAGCTTGTCAACAGTTAAGGATTTTTGCAGGATGGCAAGCCAGGAGAAGGCTTGAGCCTTGTCTGGGGGAAGTGAGAAGCCGCACTCTGTTTGCTATAGTTGGTATAACGACACTTTGTTTTAAAAAGCACTTGGTCAAACTGGAATCACTTGTTCAATCCGGAATAAGGGGTGGGCAATCCAGGTCTATGGACCTCAAATTGTTCGACTCCAACCAACTTTTATTTTTCTAATTATTTTTTTGCTTGATTCCCCCTGATACGGATTACCTGGCTGTTCCTGTTTTTAAAACACTAGTAACACCATTGGACATGACCTTTTAGAAAGATGACATTGAGAAGGTGCCATCAGGGGAGTGGGTCCATATAGTTTTGTCTAAACCTGTGGGGGGGATGAAGAAGGAATCAAGGCATGCTAAGAGGGATACATATTGGGTTGTTTCATTGTCGATGAGGTCCTGGCATAGGATGGTGGTCCATACCTGTCTAGAGTGCACTTGCATGACGTACTCAGCAATGGTGACCTCCCTGTTGGCAGCAGTATTGAAGATGGCTGAGAAGGCGAGGCGGTCGTTAAGCTAGGGGTCTTTCCGAAAACTTGTGCAATTCCCCAATTATGGGGGAAGCCTGAAAAGTTGAAGTCAATCACCTTAATCACTCTTCAAGCTCCTGAATTTCAGGAGCTTCAAGAGGCACGGCCTTTAGGGAGCCAACCCCAGCCGTCGTTTCTGTATTCGTGAAGGATCATGGATCTCCACAGTTGATCTTGGGTGGTGGCAAAATGGCACCACTATTTGTTGAGTGGGCTGTGTTGGTGGTTTGATGGTTATGGAAACCCAGAACTCCAGTAGACCTGCTCCCATTTGACATGATGGTAGTTGCTTGTGGTGGAAGCTCCATTTCATAAGAAGTCTCTAGTAATTCTTTCTAACTTTGTGACACAAGCATGTGAATAGGGACACTTGGAACAGTGGGATATTCTACAAAGTGAACTTGATGAAGGTAATATCTACCTCTGGAGGACAGAAATTGGCACTTTTTTTTTAAACTGTAAACTGTATTAATAAGGGAGTTGTACAAAAATAAACCACCCACACAGACGGGGCGTTTAAGAATCAAAAACCCCTTATGGGGTCCTAAAACTTCTATACAAGCTTTGCAGAATCAAGTTTATAAGTAAACAAGATATGCTATTTAGATGTCAAAAAGGTGCTCAAAAGTCTCCTGCGTGGTTTGCTGAGAGGCACCTTCTTTAGGGAGCTGTTGCGGCATTGGCTTCCTTCCAAGTATTTTCGCCAAACTACGCTCCTAACCCTGCAAATGAGGAAAATCTTGTCAAAGATGCGAGCCAATCTCCAAGGGTAAAGGGAGGATCTAGAGGCCCATGTTATCACATTCCTCGAATCCCCTTCTAAAATCAACGTTTTCGTCCCATGAGGGGTTAAAGTGTAGAAGACCCACGAGGAGGACTAGGGCTTTGGTTACTGTGGAATTTGTAATACCGGCACAGTGGGAGTAGGAAAAGAGCGTGGGCCCCCAGTATCTCTGAAAATACAACCAATACTAACGTGGCCTGGGTTGCTGAGAGAGCACCCATCAAAGTTAAGTTTGACGACTTGGCTCCGCTCCAGGGGTCGCCTTAGGGAGGAGCGAGCAATGCGGGCAGTTCTGAGGGTGAGCAAGTTTCTCCAATTGATTTGGAAGTCTAAAAGTGGGCAATGCTTGAAGAGGATGTGGTTCTTGGCCTAAAAGGTGACAAATGATTTGACTTTGTCGAATAGCGCTGCTAGGTTTAGCTTCTCCTCTCTAAATGTTCGGTTGTTGCTCTCCAACTAGATGACCTAAAGGGCAGCCGCAACTACTGCACGCCAAAGGTATCTTCCCTGTTTGGTCCAAGGAGGAGAGAGAGGAAGGCCTCGACCAATTGAAGAACGGATGAAGTGGTCACCCAGGACCAGCCGAAGAGCTGAAGTTGGAGCCCTCACAGAGTGCTTGCTGCGAAGTAATGGATGAACAAATGGGCATTTCTCTCCTCTTTTTCTAGGTACATAGTGCGCCTATTAGGTAGCTGAAGACCTCTTCTGTGTAGTTGGTTGATGGTCAGAGCTCACTCGGAGAAGGTGATCCAGTTAAACATTTGGATCTTGGGAGAAACCAAGGAGAAACAATTGGCACTTCCAATTGGCTAGTTTCCTCTCGTATTTCGACATTGTCATCCCATTGGGATTGCTTTGACTTGCCAAACCAAAGGGATAAACCCCAAAATATTTGCTTGGAAGGGTGTTTTGTATGCCTCATCCACTGCTAAAACTTGTAGTCTCTCATGATCTACCTTGAGGCCAGTAGCTAGTTCTGCAGAAGAGTACGAAGAGTTAGAGATTGTCGATCTGCTGGGGGAAATCTCAAGGAAGACTAGAATATTATCTGCATATTGGGGGTAGGACATAAAGGAGCTACGGTGAGTGGAGAATCCACTAAATAACTGGCAATGGTAGAGGCTTACAATGGATCTACTGAAGGCATCTGCCACAATAGCAAAAAGGAAGGGGGATATGGGTATCCTTGCCTGAGGCCTCTTGAGGCTGGGAAGAAACCTTGTGCGGAACAATTAGAGTGAAGGCTGAGAAATTGGCCGAGGATAGGCAACCATAGATCCATCAGTGCCTGTATTTGTGGTCGGGCTCATTTGGTGCAATGTTCTGTTGAGAACTCCCCAATCCACTGTCATAGGCTTTTTCTATATCTAACAGTTTGGACTTTGGACTGGGTTTCCTTGAGAGAACGTGTTTATCTATAAACTCACTGGCAATGAGGCACCATCAAGGATTTACCTACCAGCAATGAACGCACTGTGTTTTGGGGAAATGACTTGGTTAATGACATAACAAACCTTGGAAATGAGCGCGTTAGCTAGGATCTTGTAGGTGCCTTTTAACAAGCTAATCAGCTTGAAATCCTTGAGATTCTTAGCACCCCCCAGTTTTCGAATAAGGGTGATGAATGTTGCATTCATGCTTCTATAGACCACTCCTTATAGAACTCAGAAATCCAGGCAAGGACATCTGGAGCCAGGAATCCCAAAACTCATTGAACAGGATAGCTGGGAAGCCGTCAGGCCTAGGGCTCCTGGCCCAGTTCAGCTATTGCTTTGAGTATTTCCTGCTTAAATATAAGTTATCCAATGTCTCATCCACATCCCCCTCCTATTTTATGAATCAATGTAGATATTTTTTTGGTGGGTGTGTAAGCTAGATGAAATGTGATTGTGAATATGTCAATGTGATAATAATTAGCATCCCCCACCTATTTGAATCAATAAAGTTATTTTTTGGTGGATGTGTAAGCTAGATGAATTGTGATTGTGAATAATGTGATACTAATTATTCCGTTATCACCAATCATGAGGCTGAATACTTTGATCAAGTGGCTCTGGACAAAAAGAAAACCTCCATCAAAGTCAAATCCACTAATTGCATCTTTGTGCACTCTAAAAATTTAAGTGATGTTGTCTGAATGTTTCTCTCTAGATCCTCAAGTGTTTATATTTCAAAGAAAACTCATATATTTGATTCTATGTAATATAGGAACATTTGATTCTATGTAATATAGGAACATAAATCTTTGTTACGACTTACCGTGGTGTGGTACTTTGGAATCACATCCTTCTGTTAGTTCCATTCGCTATAATTTGTGACATAGTTCTTTCTACATACGTGACTGATATTGGAGGTGTTTGTCCAATCAGGGAGCTGTTGGATTGAAGATGCAAGTTTTCCATCGGATAATGTGTTTTGTGAACTGCCACTTTGCTGCACATTTAGAAGCAGTTAACCGTCGCAATGCTGACTTTGATCATGTTTACCGTACTATGGTCTTCACCAGACCTTCTACTGCTATGAATGCTGTTGCTGGTATGACGCATCAGTCGTCTCCCTGTGTTCATTGTATACTAGTTTTCACGCTTACTTTCCCAAATAAAAGAAAAGGATGATTCTTATGCTTTGTTTGGTACCCTTTTTATGCAGCTGGTGTATCCTCTGCTGTTCAACTATTTCGTGGGGCAAATGTAAGCAAATGATATATTTGATGGCTAATTCTGTGTGTGCCTGCATGTGTGTGCATGTGTATGTGTGCATGTGTGTGAACTGAAACTTGGAAGGCATGGTGATTCAAACTTGTAAGTTGTAACAACAAAATGTTTGAGATGGAGCTCCGTAGCATTGATAATTATGGGCTGGAACAAACATACACATTAAGAGAAAGAGAGGTTTTTTTATTGAATTTGAATTTTAGACCTTTACACAATCTCTTTTTTTTTAATTATTGAATTTGACCTTTTTACTTTGTACAGATTGTAGGAAGCCAACCTGAAGAGCCTAAGCCAGAGCTTTCTGAAGCAGATATGGTAGTGTTTCTTGGCGATTTCAATTATCGACTTCATGGTATCTCATATGATGAAGCAAGAGACTTTGTTTCCCAAAGATGCTTTGACTGGCTCCGAGAAAAGGATCAGCTTAGGGCAGAAATGAAAGCTGGGAAAGTTTTTCAAGGGTTGCGTGAAGGTCACATAAGATTTCCCCCAACATATAAGTTTGAAAGACATCAGGCAGGCTTACAAGGTTTGTTTATATGCTCAGTTTTGTTATATATTTTCTCAATATGTTGCATATAATGTTGAATTATGTTAGAGGTTTTATCGTGCACACTTGAAATTCAGTAGAAGTGAGATCTAATTTGTTTACATTTGAGCAGGATATGATTCCAGTGAGAAGAAGCGGATTCCAGCTTGGTGTGACAGAATTTTATTCCGCGACAGTCGTACTACTTCTTTAACACAATGCTCATTGGAATGCCCTGTTGTTTCTTCTATTTCAAGGTATGCAGTTTGATAAAATGTCATACATTGGCCTGTGACCTTTGGAGGTCATGAAGGATTATTATCTTTTGATAATTGATATTCATTAAAGTTCAATGTAAAGGGTATACATGGAATTGCTTTAGAGTGCAACCGTATGGGGACATATATAACATATAAGGGCCAGCGAACCTTACTGTACTAATCATCATTACCTAGGACATATTGGAGAGAAACTATGTCGTCTTATCCATTGACCATCAAAAACTCATCCTTCACAGTAGATATTCCAAAAATTTCTGGTCAACATGATCACAAATTTCCGTAGTTTCCTCAACTGTTATACCATGTGTACCCTCCTTTTGGCCATGGATTGAGTCATTCATGGCAACCAAAATATTAACTAAAATTTGCTTTTCCCTTAGAAACACATCTTATGAATGGAGTGTAGCATGATGCTTTTAAAATTTGGATAAATTTTATGGTGATCTTGAATTCAATTAACCAAGATGATGCACTTTTGTTTTTTTGAAAAAAAGAAACCAAGTGATGGGCTTTTCTATGAAAACAACAAAATGATGGGTCCAGTGTTCTTAACATATTCCCTCAGAAAATATGTTCTCAATATCCTAAATTGTTGAAAAAACTGCTCTTAATATCTACTCTTCTCAGTTCAGCTCCAAACCGGAGGAATGGAGGTAGAGTTCAGTGGGGCCTTTGCTTACCCTACTGAGCTTTTGAAGTTGTGGACTAGCTCTATCAGATCCAATGTCACCATTATCTTAGAAATCTTATATTACGACATCCAAGAAATCCTGAAAAATGGAATGGAAAACTCATACTCCCTCACAGCCCTTTCTGTGCCCAATGAGAACTTACCCTCTTGAGTTCCCCAATTTATTTTGTCCCCTGACATCTGCATAGTCCACATTAGGTTGCTGTTAAAGTTGAGACTCTCTAAACCAGGTCTTTACGAACTTCTGCTGAATAGGGATTATGAATAATACCATTATTGTTCTAGTAGGTCTTCCTTCTCACATCACCTCATAACCCCAATGTGATCCCTTTTATTCAAGCATTGGCAGTACTGTGGATAAGTTGGTAGTAGTCGCCCTCATTAAGTTATTGCACCCTAGATTTGTTAGACCAACTGTTTTTCCTCACCGCACTGCATCCTTTTGACTTAGTTCCACCTGAAATGTTTACTCTTCTATTCAATGTGGCTATTGTTGCCCACCTTGTTTAGCTCTGAAATCTCCTTAGGGCTTTTGCCTTTATCACCCAGGACACCAGGCGCTACATTCTACCTGTCATAAATCTTTCCCTTGATCCATACGGTTCTTTCCACACCCATAAGCAAGCCTTGCCTCTTCTCCATGTGCATGCCACCTGGTTGTTGAATTTTGGGAGCATTTTTTTTTATTTTTTTTGTTAATGAATTTGGGGTGCATTGGCCCCATGTGTCCAAAACTTGGAGGGCATAGGATTGGGCTGTGGTGTAAGGCCAGCCATGGAAGCACCTATTTGTTCAATGCCTTGCTATACCAGATATGAAAGAAAAAATTCCAGTATTACTATCACTTGTTCCTCTAGTTTACTGCACCTACTAAATCGTGCACCACCTAGGGGAACGTTGATCACATCTAGTCATTTCAAAATTGTGTTCGCCAACTCAGGCGAGTTGATTTTAACTCGCCTGTAAAACCAAACCACATGTGTGCACAAACAACTTGGATGTGTTTGAAACCAGCGATAGAATCCCTTTTCTCTTTGATTTTCACCATAGAGAGACCTATTTGATCCCAACTTTTGACCATACATTTGTTTTAATTTTTGTGTGAGCTATCCACTAGATGGATCATATTTGAGCAAAAACCATCAAATTTGACAGATTTGAGAGATCAAAGATTTCGACCTGGATTTTACCCAATTTTAAAAAGTTGTGATTTCTCTGTAATGATTGGCCGATCTGCAATTGAATTTATTTCTGAAGCCAATTCTTTGGTTCTTCATCCAGTCATTGTCTTGTTTCTCACCAAAGAAAAAAAAAGCACAAAATAATTTTAGATTTTAATTATGGTTTAGAACACCAAGATCTTTCAAGAGTTGGATCACCTAGACCCAACTAGAAACGGAAATCTGGTTTGGGGCTTCCCATTGGCTGTCTGAAGAAGTTTTGACTAGGATTTGAGGCATTGATTCTCATTCAACTAAAGATTTGGCTATTGTCCAAAAAATTGGGGTAAATTTCATATTCTGTAATTTAGATTTATATAATTGTTGAGCGTGTCGTGGGAGCATAATGTACATTAATTCCATTGGGCAAAAGAGCTACCGAGGACTTTCTTTTTCAGAAATCCTGTGATCCACCTAAAAATCATCAGATGATTATTTTTTTAAGAAAAGAGGATTTTGAGTTCTTCAAATCCCCAAAATTTTGGTGTCCTAAAAATACTTCTAGTTTGGGTTTTGCCCGATAATGCAAATAGGCAGAATGCTTCTGAAGGGGCAGCATTACGTTTCAATAATTCGTTTACTTTTTTTCTCTTTATGATTATATGTACTTTCTTATTTTTCAAACTTTCATGAATTTTCCTTTTTTTTTTGGGGGAATTTTTGGTTATATCGGTGGTATGGTGCAGACTCAGAAGAGTTGACTCAAACACGCCCTAGTCACTTGGATCAGACAAGTTCTAAGTTCCACAACTGAGCTTCTTTTTCCAGTAGTATTCCAAAATCTTTCATAGTTGTTGTATACTTTCCATTTCTGGCTGCCTGCCTTCTGTGTTGGAAAATTTGGATAATATTGAATTAACCCAGTACATAACAAGGATCCAAATATTTGTTTCGAACTGCATCCTGTGTTATGATTATATGGTCTCTGGGTCTTTCGGTTCTTATATTGTATAAGCGCCTAACTGAAACTGGCTACCAAAAGGTGGGAGCTTAAGGAGACCAAAGGTTCCCACAGTGGCACATTACCACCCTCCCCAAATGCTGAGCAATGTAAAATAACCATTCTTCCTCCCACTTCACCTTGTGAAGGAAGAAATGGTGTTCTACCACCACATAATTGTACCCTAAAGTAACTTGACAAATTACATGATTAACTTTCTCCTGCATGGACTCATGGATCAAACTGTGCACACTATCTTCGTTGTGAAGACTTCTGTCGCCAATCCTGGACTTGCCAAGAAATTCCTTGACAAGATCTTCATGTTCTTTGGTTTGGAATACCCACTCCCCACCACAATCTGTGTTGAACTAGTGTTATGCCTTCCTCCCTCCCTCTCATGAATTCCTCCCTCATAACTTGTGATTGATTGATGAGAATGGTTTTCAGCTCCTTGGCTCTACTTTCCCTTTCCGCCCTTGTTATTCCCTAAATGCAACCGTTCTTTTACCTACCATCTTTCCAACAACTAGGTTTGTCACCTTTTGTAAATTTGGCTTTGAAATACAGTAAACTTTACTCAAAAAATAACTAGGTTTGTCAAAGTGGCTGTCCTAGGTGTCCCAATTTCCTTTTGAGTTTTCTGCAATCTATATTGAGAGACTGTCCCCTGCACTCGGACCCGTCTTCCACTACTCCTTCCTCTCATCATTGATTTCTATGTCAGCCCATATACCTCCTCTTCAATCTGCTGCCCACCTACCTCTATTACCTCGCACTAAGTGACTAATGAAATCTCCTTGCTTTGTCTCCTGCTCTTTAGGGTGGAATAAAGATCAGGAATTGTCTCCTATGAAATGAAAAGGGTGCTGACACACCCCAGACTCTTGAAATAGGGTTCCTGTCACTGTCGTTTGTAGATTCCATTTCCATCTTCACTCGTCATCACTGAGCAGCATCCTTGCTTCATTGTGTTTTCCAAACAAAAGTTTTAAGTTCTTCAATCCATGGATTTCCGCTATTAGTCGCATTCATGATATTATTCGTTTACCAGGTATGATGCTTGCATGGAAGTGACAGATAGTGATCACAAGCCAGTCAGATGCATTTTCAATATTGATATCGCGCATGTTGATAAATGGGTAAGAAGAAAAGAATTTGGGGACATTATGACATACAATGAACGGATTACCTCTCTGCTTAGAGACCTGAATGAAGTACCGGAGACCATTGTGAGTACGAATAATATGATCCTTCAATATCAGGACACATCCATCCTCCGCTTAACCAACAAGTGTGGGACGAGCATGGCTCTGTTTGAGGTCATCTGTGAAGGGCAGTCTAACATCAAGGATGACGGCTTTGCATCCCAACATCACCCGAGAGGCGCTTTTGGTTTACCTCGTTGGCTTGAGGTAGTTTCTCCTCTGTTTAATGCTTTGAATAACATCAGTCCATTTCTTTACTTAATGTACCAGATGACTATTTTTTTTTCGGTTTTCTAGTTTATTAAGCCTTACTCTACAAATGTAGCAAGCCACGTTCTCGGTCTTTTGGCTTGCTCATCGTTTCTATTTTTGTGTAGGTGGCCTTTCAGTTACAATCCTAACATCAATGGCTTTCTGTATGAACTTTAGTTGACCTGACGCTCCATTATATATGCTATAATTCACAAATTTCACAATTTGTGGGTGAAATCATTAGTATATGTGCCCTATTCCTGGGTATCCTATAATTAGTGGGCAATTACTCTGATATTTGGGTCTTTATACTTTTTCAACTGTGTATGTTGATCTTGAGGCAAATCTCATTCTGTTTTTATGCTGTTCTGGTTTTGTATTTGTTAGTTGATGACAGCCATTTTTCCATATTTTTCAGTCTTTTTCTGGCTTTCATCTTAGAATCATAACGACAAGTCATTTCTGCACTTAAATTTAGCAGGCAGCCAGGCAATCTCGTCTTACTCATGAAATTTTTTTGTTTTTAACATTAGCCTCTCTCTCCCTGTGCCCCAGGTGACTCCGGCTGTAGGCTTGATCAAGCCTGGACAAATTGTGGAAATCTCAGTGCACCACGAGGAATTCCACACACAAGAAGAGTTTGTAGATGGGGTCCCCCAGAACTGGTGGTGTGAGGACACGAGGGACAAAGAGGTAATTATCCTGATTAATGTGAGGGCATGTTACTCTATCGAGTCAAGGAGCCACCGCATAAGGGTGCGCCACTGCTTCTCTTCCAAAGCCTCCCGTGCTGACTCGAGGGCCAACTCAAACAGGGCCCAACAGCCCTCCAACCACCTTCACAGGGCTGATTTCAAGCATCACGGCAGTAATTCTGATGTGGTTGATGACTTCCAAAACCTTCATAGATTATGAAAGTGCACCTCGACCTTGAATCCTCTTCTTAGAGTTGGAAGTTGCCTTGTAAATAGTCTTGTTTAGGGATCCTACCCACCATTCTGATTTATTTATTTTTTCTAATTTCCTCAGTCTTTACTAGATTTATCTATGCATCATTCCCACTTCCTGTCCTATTGTATTCTATTGGTTATTTGTCATGGGCTGTCGGGTTGTTAGCCTGGTCACCCTCGTATTCTTTGCATGTATTTTGCCAGCCAATTCTTTGACTGAGTTTAGAATGGGAACCCTTTGTGAAGTTTGAAGGGTTCCTGATGTAATATTGGAGACCTGTTATTTTTTGGTCTGGTCAGAATGAGGACTGTAGAAAGATAATGAGACTCTCTCTCTCTCTCTCTCCTCTCTCTCTCTCTCTCTCTCTCTCTACTACGTACTACGTACTACTACTACTACTACTACTTACGTACTTAACGTTACGTTAACGTTAACTTAACGTTACGTTACGTTACGTTAC